TACTTTATTGTATTACTATTTTAATTTCAAAATAAATTGTGTGTTATTCAAGGAAAGAGTATTTTAATGTTAGAAAAAAATTAGGTCACAACACTTCTTGACAATTAAGATCCCAGTAAGTCCATAAATAACATTTTGCTTCCTCACTTGCTACCTAAAGCAATCTGTTATTACAGACCACAACAAATATGTTCTAACATTTGAAATAAGTTATTAACACAGAGCAGATAAAGTTTATATTATATGTATGCTATAAACGTATGCTGGGATTTGTTCTTAATCCATTGCTTTTCTTTTCCTTGTTACATCACCAAATGTCTGGGAACTAGCTATTTTGGACTCATCAAAACATGGACCACTGCCTTCATTTCCATCAGTCACTTTGTCAAATGTTTAACTCCAATCATTGACTTTAAAACTTCTGGTACTCACGCTGCATGTAATGTGGCAAATCTGATCAAATGTGATGTTTGTTTCCTTCATCAAAAATCTGCTTTATTTTCCAGAAGCGAAAGAGAATTTGCTTATAGCCATCAGCGTTTTACTAAGACTGTGTTTAATAATTGATTAGTGTGTTTACTTTTGAGCTGGATCCCTTTCATGGTAAATGGGAAAAGCAATGGTCAATCTAACGCTCTCATGGATTGGTGTATAGATTATTTAAGATTATTAACAAATACAAATAATCCTAATCTTCTGTTTCTGTTGACTGGTCTTGGAACACTGCATCACTTATCAGAATAAGGCTTTACCATTTTTAGAATATATTTTGGCAAAATGTAAAGTATCTCTCTTTCTTATCTTTGCTGAAATGAGCCATCCACCCAAAGTCAGGGACTGCAGCTGCTTTTTGTTTCTGAATCTGATATTTTATTTAACAGTAGGTCATTTGATGAACAGAATTTGAAAGGAAAAGGGGGAAAAAATGAGAACAATAGACAGTGTATTTATCCCACAGGGGGATATTCATGTCATGTCATGGTCTTCCCCTTTATTATTCCATTTCTGGGTCGGGGGGTGGCAATCAGAGCTGCCACCCAAGTCTCATAGCACCAGTCCCTCGCTGATCCTCCTGCAGGTGGTGGGTCCACGAGAAGATGGCTTCTCCGTCATCAACGAGATGGCCTTGGTCTTTCAGCGGGGGCTTCAGGCAATGTGGGGTTAAGTGTCTTGCCCAAGGACACAACAACAGCAGACATCAGCAAGAGCAGGTGACATGGGTCGTGGTGGGCTCAAACTCACGATCGTTAGGTCCAAAGACCAGTGCTCTACCAACTGAGCTACTGTCGCCCGCGGGACAATAGTGTGTGATCATGTTTAAATGTTGGGAAGGTTGTCAAAGGACATTATACAAACAAGGTCTAATAATACTACTTCTACTGCATCTTTTGCCATTAAAAAAATTATAATGATGTACATAATATGTGAGCCAAAATGAAGTGTGACATCAGGATACAAAGTTCTGGACTTTATATTTGGGTGATTCTTTGTGTCAGCCCAGACAGCATGCATACTTGTCTGGAACCAAACCCTTTGGCCATAGTGATGCTTAAACATATTATCCATGTAATGAGGGATTCATACTATATAGTTTTACCTTATTTGTGTCTTGGTTCACTGCTTACGCTCCTTTATCCCTAAAATACACCAGGAAATTACTATTGACCGCGTAAGTCTGTTGTGAAATGTTCTGGAGGTATGAACTCACAGTGGCTCAGTTATGCGGTCAACATTCATTTAACCTTTAGTCTGTGAAAACAAGAGTGCATCTGTTCCTGATGCTACATTCTTGTGAGCTCCTCCTTTTGTAATCAATCAATCCTGTGTGAGATTAATAAGATAAGATAAGATAAGATATACTTTATCAAACAATATCAATATGACCAACAGAGATCAAATATGTTTTGAGAACGCATAGACTCAAGGCTCTTTGTGAGATTGACAGACAAGGTGCTCTGGCTTGTTATTGTGTCCCAGACTTACAGTCCCCAGATCCCCACTAAAAAAGTGCACATTTACATTTTCATTTAAGGATAATGAAGTACACCAGAACACTTCATGTTTGCTTTAGGTCAAAATTAAGCTGCAAGTAAAAACTGCAGAGCCAGCGGTCTTTGTCGAGAGCAACAGTTTGGTGATGATAATGGAATCAGGAGAGGAGAGAGAGGAGACTGCTTGAAATCAGCTGAGAACCAGAGAGTCTCAGACTCTCAGATTCCAGGCTCTCCTTTAGTTTATTATCAGGAGCTTTTTTCAAATGTGTTTGTATATCTATGTTAAAGCATGTACATTACTGACATAAGCTAAATTGTTTTCATAACTTGTCCTTTTTTTTAATGCCTTTTTTATGTAAAAAATAAATAAATAATAATTTGTATGACCAAATAAACAAACCTAAACAAACCAATTTTGCGGCAAAGTGTCAGATCATATACTGCACATTCAACAACACTCGGCTGGACCCCATCGAGTCCCCATGAGCGACTTTCAGAGTTAATATGGCAAACATCCAAAAAGTTAAGGTTAAGGTTAATGTTAGAGTTGTTGCAATAGTATTTCACATTACACTTTGTACTATTCCTCAAAACCACCTGACAAAAAGTTAGTGAAACCCTTATAATAAAATACTTAAAAAACTCAATGTGAACATTTCTATCAGAGTATTTCATTGCCTATTGAGAAAGTTGGCACTTTGGGAGCCAACTCTGCTAGGAGCTGTGAGGGAGGCCAATGAAGGGGCAAAGATCTGTATTGGAGTTATAGTATAAAACATTGATTATATTGTGAATTAAATCAAAAAGGTTTTTTTTTTCTTTTTGCAAATCAAACTTGGTTGTGCTTGAGCCTCTTCATTCTGTCTTCAAAGCAGCAATCAAGATCCAAACTATGTCATATATGATGAAAGCACAAGCCCCATGGAACAGATTTAGAGAAACTTAAATAATACAGCTCTGATTTGGACACAGATCCTGGTAAAATATTTAATATCTCAATCAGAGTGTCTGTGGAGGACACACACAGCAAATACATTTGTTTTATTCCTCAAACAGAGGTGGAGGTTTGAGATGTTGTGTGATCTGACACAGACTCTGTTCTGTTCTTCCTGAGTCCTGTCTTACTGTAACTGCAGCTGTTGTCTCGGCTGATGCTGCGAGTACTCACCGATCAAATATAATATAAATAGGTTTCAGGAATATTTCTTCTGTATTTCATACTTTGCTTATACATGTGCACTTTGTTATATGTGTTAAGGTTAAATGATGTGTTACCAGAAGAGCAAGCCCTACCTTGTACATCTACACTCACTGTCTGTTTATCTCTTTTTATACTCAGCTGGTCTGTAAAGAAGGGACGACCCACGGCTTTCTGAAGAGCTCTGTTTTACTACCTCTTTCTCAGTTTTACAAACTCTGAACAATGAAGCGTCCATGAAAGGTTTATGTCATTACACATGAACATTATCGGTCCAAATGTTTGGTCTCCTGATATTTGTGTGAACATATAGCGAGTCGTAAAACTTTTTTCCTCTCCTCTAGATGTATAGCAATTCAAACAATGTTTTTGTGTCTTTTGTTGGATTTAGGCCGTTCCCATGGAGCCTTCTCGAAAAAACCAATTAGTGGCTTCCACTTTGGATTAGTGACAGTGGGAATGTCTTTGTTCCATTGAATCAAAACAAGGAGTCACTTTATACAACAGCAACTATATTTCTTTGATGTTAAACCAACATGACACATAATCTGCAGGGAATAATATTCCCTGTTTATTTGCTCAACTAAGAGAGATTTAGGAATATAATAAGAGCAAAGATGATCAAAAGTCAAATAATCACAGACCATCTAATATAGGTCATTTGCTTTTGCATTTCCCCTGGCAGTGATGGTCAGTGCTGTGAAACTCAGGAGAGTAAGAGTTGTCCCTCCTGTATCCATTTATAGCATATGAGACTTTTGTTCCTGTGGTGATTGTAAACAGTTTGGTCTGTTCTAAACATGTAATTCTTCATTTGTTGCAAAAAGTAAGTTTATTTTGTACTTTTCTCTGAAGGATGTATTGTTGAATCTGCGGCACTGAGCAGCGCGCATTGTTTTTCTGTGGGCGTCATGGCAGAATCAGAACCATTGTTGTTCAGGGATATGGCACAGAGGGTTTGCTTTCCAGTGACCGTACTGTGCCATCAAGGAGTTCAAAGCAGAACCAGGAAGTATGTGATATATGTGCAAGCTATGGCTACAAACACAAGTGTTTATTGATATACTATAGAACCCTCTTGGAGACACAAATGTGTCCAAGCTTCTATTCAAGTAATGTGTGATAAAAAAAAGAGTATGAGAATTGTATTGTCATACGGAAGTGTTATAATAATACTATTGTTTGAGTATTACATAGCATCAGACTATCTCAGTTTCAACACACACCCACGACAATGCTCCGATGTCCTAAAAGTATTTTGTAAACAGACTGTGCCTATGTGTGAACAGTCTAACTGTCTTCTTTTGTGGTTAGTGGTTCATTGTTATATAGTTTCAACAGAAAGTCAGTTAGCAGTTGCTTTGTTGTAATTGTATACAGACTGCATCCTAGTTACACCCCTCCCCTCCTGGTTCAAGGCTCCTGATTTTATTGTCTACTTAATTTTCCACATATTGTCTCTATCCCTATACTCCTGCTTTAATGACATACTTAGTGCTGACTAAAACATACAATGTGACTTAATTAAACTATAATCTCACAATATGGCTTCTGTGATATGCACTCTGACATTTACAAGAACATTGTGACGGAGCCTCCCTCATTTCCTCCGATGCAGTTCAAATCAAGTTCCCCGAGGAGTAAGGCCTCCAGGTATTGTTCCACTTAAAGGAAAAATATAACAGGGAGTGGAGAGGTGCATACTGGGTCATCATTTTTCTTCTGACAACTTGAAAAGGGGGAAATAAAAGGAACATTGTTTGGAGTGAGTTGAAAGATGGAGTTTGTAGAAACAGGGAAAGTTTAGGATGGACAGTGTCAAAGCGGAGACAGGATCTGAGAGGTGCAGAGGTGAGGTGTGGAGAGGCTGGGTTGTGTCTGCTGCTGACAGGATACAGGAAGATTGTCGCACAGCGGAAATGACTCCGGTTTAGTGAAACTCCAACTCCAAGGAAAAAGACCACCGTAATGGGAAAAATACATTCCATTTGCAGGTTTGCAAATGCTATTTCAGTTTAGAACCTGGATTTTTATATATTCCCCATAATGTGTTATCTCAATTGTGCCCCATTTTATGCTTTGTAATTCTGAAAGAAACATTAAGAGATCCTTTATTTTTCCCACAGTGAGGAAATGTTTACCAGGCTACACCATAAGATCATGTGATAAGAATCATAAATAATATATTCCATATATTTATAAGGCATACTGCTTATAAAGCACTTTTTATGACACCTATGATGCTTTAAATGTATTCATTCACCCCATATACTGTGGTGATAGACTACTGCTGTAGCCACAGCTGCCCTAGGGCAGACAGGCAGTGAGGCAACTAATCAGTGCCATCGACCACTTCGACCACTACCAATCATTCTCACTGGCATGCACGTGCATGTGTTCATGCACGTGTGTGTGTTTTTGCGTGTGCTTGCACACACACACAGGCCTTTGTATTTTCAAAACAATTTTAAACGCATGCATAAGTAAAAATTCTCTAAGCCGAGCATCAACATCTGGAGATGGGTCCCTGTCGCTGCTCTGATGACCACGGCTCCTGACTCTCGAGGGATTGAAGAATGGCTCAAATACAGAAGACACATTTCCCTACAAGGACAATAAAGTATACCATAAACTTTAAACCTTAAATCTTAAATGGATCAAGGAACAAAGTATTTGATTTTGTCTTTTGAAAGGAATGAGACTGAGCCTCCTGAGTCTGCGCTCCTCCAATGCTATTAAACCTCTTGACTGCTGGAAAAATAAATACAAATGCTGGGAATATTGGTGGTCATGCAGTTTTAACGCTGCATTTCTTTAGAATCCATAAATGTAAACCTTCAATTAAACTTAACAGCTCATGGAAAATCCTTTCGACGTGAAACTAAATGATGCATTTGAAGAGGAAAACAAGTTGTGCATTCACTGACTGCGGATGCGTCACTACATCATGTGCACTTTTCCTCCTTAATGAAGCTCTCCTCGCCTTCAGCACTGGCTTTGGTCAGTGCCTTGTGAGTCTTTTGGTTTTGCCATAAGCTCCACAAACACCCACACACTGACCATTAAGTAACCAACACAAAAGCACTCCTCAAATGAATCATCGTGTCATTTGAACTCCTTTGCTCGTATGAAGATGGATGACAAACTATTCCAAATGTGAAGTGTGAAAGAAAATAGTCATGGGAACTGGACAGAGACAGTGATGATGTGTGTTTAGGTTACATCCAGCAGCTGTCCAAAGTGTTGAAACTAATCAAAATCAATGTTACGCATTTGTCCATATAAAGTTACGTAATGCAATAATTCTATAGCAGAAATCTTTCCACTGTCTTCAGCTGTCTGCACTTTCCCTGCTTCCGTCCTGGTTTCGTCCTGATGTAGGTCTTTTTTTCCAGTGATTCCTCGACTCAAATGGTCTAGAAGTAATCAGGCTTCCACATCATTGAGTTGACAAGGGGATTAACTTGTGTACTACTTATGAACACATTTTACATGACATTTGGACTGAAAGGTATGGAGCTGTTTAACAATGCGATATTCTGTTGACAGACTCCAGGCCTCCTAGCTTTTTATCTTCACTATTCTCCATTTGTATTTATCTGCATCACATTCTTGATATTGGACAGCCTAGGGGAAAGACAGGTTTAAACAAAAAAATGTAAATACAAGAACAAAAGTGGAATTTTAGGATTAAGAGATTGTATATTTCTTATTTTTTATACTGTGGGGAAATGTAAGTGTTGCATCACAAGTTACAGAACAGTAGTATGAAGAGCAGAGAGAATACGTGAATATTAAGTATTGCACAACTTTGTCAAATAAAATAAATTCAGACCTTAATAAAGAATTTGAATGTAAATGTAAATGTGCACTTTATTGTCCCCGTAGGGACATTTGTCCTCTGCATTTGACCCATCCTGATGCCACTAAGGCTTACGTCAGGAGCAGTGGTCGCCGTAGTAACAGCGCCCGGGAATCTCCAGATGTTAATGCTCTGGTCAGGACTACCAGAGCTGGAGGATTTTACCTAGTGAGCATATTTTTTGTGGTAGGGGAAACCGGAGCACCCGGAGAAAACCTACGCAGACACGGGGAGAACATGCAAACTCCACTCAGAAAGTCCCCGTTCCCACCGGGATTCAAACCCAGGACCTTCTTGCTGAGAGGCCCGAGTGCTATCCATTCAGCCACCGTGCTGAATTGGATAGCAAAGTAAAAAAAACAACTATACTCTAGTACAAGGAATATCACACGTATGTGGCAGATTGAAAAAGGTAGATTGTTTTTGTCTTTATGGCGTACAACAGGGATCGGGAAAGATGGTTAGTATTTCCACTGCAATCTTTTTGTCCTAATGCTGCAATAAGCAACTGTTATATAGTTTACTGCCATAAGCCATAAAAATGGGTTTGCCCTGGCACTCCCGCCGCTGTAAAAGCACTCCTCCATAATAACTGATACAATACATCAGATAAAAATTCCATGAGAAAAACTCATGAGTGTAATTGAATGGACAACATATGTCATGTAACTGTGTGAGCTCAGGAAGTTTTGGAATCTATTATTTAATGTCCTAAAAACATGACACAGTTACATAATGTTTTCATTCATTTATTTTTTCAGGAACACATCCTTTCCGGATGTGTTACTGTCTTTGAGCATGTATTTATGTTTTCCTTTATTTCCAGCTTCTTTTCTGCTTTACTCATGAACATAAGTGCGTGACTATTTTTCCCTGAAACAGTTTTGAATATTAAAATATTTCCTGTATAGGCAACTGTTTTTACGCTCTGAGGCGTGTCGGATTAGTCAGGGCTGTCTGGCTGAAAGCAGACAAAACATTACGCTAAAGGTAAATAGAAACTTCATGAACAAACAGACCTTTTTATTTTTTACAGGTGAAACTTGGAAAATAAGAACATTTTTCAAAAGTCAATTTACATCTGTAATTCAACATTCATAGACTTTGATCTCACTTTGACTCACACAAAGTGCGAGTATTTGTTGTAATGTTGATGATTGGCTCACAGCTTGTAAATACCCCAAATAAATGTGGATATTTTGGATTGGACTGTAAGCCATAATCATCCAAATTAGAACAAACAAAGGCTTGACATATATCACTTTGCATCCAAGGAGTCTGTATCATGTACTGGTTTTACATTTTCTGTTTACTTACAGAAATAATTTAACATTTGAACGGTATTCTAAGTTCCAAGTTTCACCTGTATAAACCTCCAAATGTGCACAATGTGATATGTAAATAATGTTGACTAAAAATGGAAATAAAATGTATTTTAATATAGTGATCCAAGACTACACCACAACTGAAATGTAACAGTGTTTGAAATACATGTTTTTATACTCTCAAAACTACAGAATGTACCCACGATGCTGCAGGTTTTCTCAGTAGGTTCCACTGTGAAGTCATGCAGACTATACTGCATTACTATTTAGACTACACTACTGTTGAATAGCCATATTAACATTTACACTTTTTGTTTCATTACATTCACATTATAGCCTTTCCTTATAGCACAACTTAATGTTTTTAATATTCAAGAAGAAGAAGCCTTTTAATTTAAATCTCTTCAAAGAAGGCTCTGTCTGCAGACTAAATTAGCATGCTAAAGTAACCATTGAGGAGTACTGTTGTGTTAAAAGCTTTATCCTTGCAGCATTGGAGGCACAGCGTGTTCAAACCATGGTGCGCTGTGATTGGCTGAGACCAGGCCATGATGTCATCACAGCACATTATAAGGGCTCTGACAAATAGTCCGGGAGACACATTAGAGGAAACACAGCAGAAGTAGAGAGCCTGAGAGAGCGAGAGAGGAGTGAGAGTGGGACGACATGTGACACTAAACAGTTGCAGTGTAACCTGAACTCTGACATTTCCATTTTTTATGGGATAGAGACAAGACTACAACCTGTGGAGGTTTGTGCACTTTTACAAAATTAATCATTTAACCTCTTTAGTTTAATTGCAGTCTGTTTTTTTCTCAGTTGCATTCAAGCCAAAATGTTAGTCTTGTCTGCCATACAACTATACAAGTGAATTTCCTTTATAGTAATACTTAAGCTATACTCTTGCTCAAATATATGACCAAACTTCATTGCATATGCATACAGCTCCATTTTGACTTCTTTGATGAAATGCTCGCTTGGTTTGCAGGGGTTGTTTTTTGCACTAGTTGCACAGATTTGTTTTTCATTCTCTTCGTAAACGAGTTAATCATTACATCTATAAAAGTCTTGTGCTTATCTATACATACCCGCAGATTAACAATGGATGGCTTCTTTCACCATTTCCATCATATGCATTCAGTCTAAAGGGACAAATAAACTTGCTATAACTTGAGCCATAAGTCAGATTTTTTGATATGTCTTAATGCTATTACGTTCATGGTCTGCTGTACCATTACAATACATGCTTATAGTTCCAACATGCATTTACTTGTAAGGCCATCTCCTCTCTGCTCATCTTATCCCCTGGTCTAACCATGTGTGGTCTCTATTTGCAGATGGGAAGCACTGTCCCCCAAACGAGCCTCAATATGAGCGAGGGGATGGCTAACTCGTCCTCAGAGCCGCCACTGAACGAGGACGGCTTCAGCGAGGCCACAATGATCCTGCTGGGCATCATCATGTCCATACTGGTTCTGTGCATCGTATTTGGGAACATCTTGGTCATTACGGCGATTGCCCGATTCCAACGGCTCCAAAATGTCACCAACTGTTTCATTACCTCCCTCGCTTGCGCCGATCTGGTCATGGGGTTAATAGTCATCCCATTTGGCGCTTGCTACATCATCTTCAAGACTTGGCACTTTGGGAACTTTTGGTGCGAGTTTTGGACTGCCACTGATGTGCTGTGCGTCACGGCAAGCATCGAAACTCTGTGCGTGATCGCGATAGATAGGTATTTAGCCATCACGTCACCTTTTCGTTACCAGTCCATGCTGACTAAATGCAAAGCCCGCATTGTTGTAGTTCTCGTCTGGGTCATCGCAGCGCTCATCTCCTACCTGCCTATTCACATGAAGTGGTGGATAGCAGATGGTAAAGATGCGCAAAAGTGCATGGAAAACAGCAATTGTTGCGAGTTCCATACCAACATGGCGTACGCAATAACGTCCTCCATAATATCTTTCTACATCCCATTGGTCATCATGGTTTTTGTCTACAGTCGTGTGTTCCAAGAGGCTAAACGGCAGCTGAAAAAGATAGATCAAAGTATTGGACGTTTCCACAATAGTGACAGCAACCGCTTGGAGTCCAATAACGGGCGTGGACAGAAAAAGGCCAAATTCTGCCTGAGGGAACACAAAGCTTTGAAGACATTAGGCATCATCATGGGGATATTCACTCTTTGTTGGCTCCCCTTTTTCCTGCTAAACGTAGTAGTAGCTATTTGGAAAGTGGACAACATTGACCTCACTTTCAAGATCCTCAACTGGATAGGATATGCCAACTCCGCCTTCAATCCTTTGATTTACTGCAGGAGTCCTGAGTTTCGGTACGCGTTCAAGGAAATTCTTTGTTTGAAACGGACGCGGATGACCAGTGCCGGCCCAGTCAATGGATATGTGTATGCCAGGCACAGCTGGCAGAGCGATCCCCACGGCAGGAGCAAGGGCAGCTCGGACGACAGCGAGGGGGGAAACCAAGAGGGCTGCCCTGGGAAAGAGAGGCGAGGGGTGTGCAGTGTCGTGGACAGGGCAGAGGCAGTGGACCCAAATGGGAACTGCAGCAGTCTAAAAACAGCAACAACTTTACTTTAGAAAACGGCTGCAATCCATTCCAGATATGTTTACAATGGTAGTATGAATTGTCCGAGTTAGAGGTAAGGTCAGAGGTAAGGTTTAGAGCCTTAAGACTGGTGGTTATATACCTCTTTCTCACTGTTGATATGACAGTAAATCACTTTTTTATTTTGGCTTGACATCTACCTCACCACATGGTTTCACTTTGTATTTATTTAACCACAAACCCCATTCACTCTCCCATGGGTCAGATCATAAGTTTTGTCATCTGTGAATTATGTAATTGGTTCTGATTGCTCCTGTCTAAACGGCGGGCAAGCTATTAGTAAGCCATTTTACTTCAAAGTGGGAATAGTTAGAGGCTGTAAATTCCATGAGCTTTTGCCAGTTGGGCACAGACACGTTGCATCGGACTTATACTGTGTAATGGAGGATCAAATGTGATATGTTTATATGCCGGTGCCTTTGTTTTGAGAGATACATTCCAGAGACATTATGATTTACACTTGGCCATTTGTTTTTTGTGCAAATCTGGTGATCAACAACAGGTGTAGAATAACCTGTCTCTCAGACTTCCAGACTCCATTCTCACACATTCAGCTCAGCAGTGAGGCCCTGTTTTATGGGAGGTTCCAACACCAGATAGGACTGGAGATAGGAACTCACAACTATCTGCAGTTGAGTAGTGCAAGATGACGCCTAGGGCCAAACTGATCGTCATGCAACAAAACCTGCTTTGTAAGATGGAAGTATTACATTAGTCTCAACAAACTACAAGAACGTGCCATTTATTTCCGCTTTCAGTGCCATATAGATTAAATCAAGTCATGGCACATAATTGATTATAGTAATTTTCTGTCTTCAGTTTCAGGGCGCCTATTTGTCTGTTTCACATCAAATACCTAAAAAACTTCCCTAAAGGATTAATGCATTTAAACAGAAAATCAGTGTTATAATTAGCAAACGCGTTTCCAAAAAATTTCCCCCTGAATAAATGTCTTCAGCCCTTATTTCAAGATGTTTGAACTTTTCAAGCCAGGTATTTTTGTATATTAAATACATATATTACCTTGCATTATGTAATAATAATGGCTCATCAAATTCCAGCAAGAGAAACATTTACAATACATACATTCAGCATTACTAATTTAAATAACTTTATAAGCTCACGCAACTGTTGCACTTTGAGATGCACGCAAGGTTCTGTTAGTTTTGTTGTTTATTAAAAGTTGTGGTTGCTGTGTTTCTTGCATCGACAGTGTTTACTGAAACCAGAGAGGACCTTTTCCTCAGCAGGGTACAAGCCGCACTCAATGCTAAGAGTACATGGAAATAGCCCGTGATTAACTTCCAGACAGTGAAGAGGGTGGTGCTTTGACCCCAATAATAATAATACATAAGTCATGCTGCCATTACTGAAGACAATAAAACTTTCAATGAATACACTGACATGCCTATGGGCCTGCCCGCTTGTCAGTGAAGCCGCCATAAATCAATGAATGAATACAAATCAGTTGACGTTGCTTACATTTGAAATTCCTTTGGGGTGATATAAAAGATGTGAACTTTTAATGTGGTTTTAATACAAGCCAATTCTACATCAATACAATAACGCAATATTATTGAGGACAAAAGCAGCAACCCAGCACTGGTATTGTCAACATGACCTTATGGACTCTGATAAACATGTCACCAACACTATTACATCATTCAAAGTCATTCTATACACACTTTTCATTTAACTGTACAGAATTAGAGGCAAAGGTTGAAACTTGAATGATTTCTTGTAACAGTTGCTATAGTAGTTTTTGCAGATAACCCACAAACTGTGAAGCTAATGGTGTCTGCATGTTAGATAGACTGATAATGTGTTTTTTTTTGCTTGAAAAAGAAAAAAATTACCTGTCATGCTGTGGCCTTATCTTCACACCCTTGCCCTGTGTTATTAATGGTAACATCAATACGCTAATAACAAACATCAATTATGGTCAGCCTGGAGACACTGTGCGGTTATGGGCAGTGATTCTTTGACTGATTAGCTGACACTGCTACATTCCACATAGCTCGGTATATACATCACACAATACAATAATATGCACAATACACATTTGCAGTCTTGGCTCTCAAACCGGTCAAAAATCGCCACGCGCTATCCACCCAATGTGTTTTAGTCTTAAGAATTTCACTTATTTTGCACATATTTATTGAAAAATGTCACCATGATGAATTACAGCTGCCTTTACTGTTTTCATGTAGTTTGGAAACAACCCATAAAAACAAACAAATAATGAAATGTGCCAGACTTTGTAATGTTCCTGTGACCCTCTCTGTTGTGTCTAATAGGAAGTTTCTTAGTCCTGTCTGGAGATTTGTTCCTTTTTTTGCTACAGTCTAGATGTTGTACGCAGTGAAAATGTTTATTAATGTGAATTCCTATGATGGATAAATAAACACTGCATTGGCCATTGTTTGACAAAGAAAAAAAAAACCTGCAATACCTTATGATATTTGTTCAGAGTGGGAACAGCCGTACTCAGTTGAATGTTTACCAAATGTTTCTTTTTGCTATTTCCGCACAAAACCACTGTGTAAGAGGAACCTGTTACTGTATAATGTTTGTTATTTATGAAACCGTGCAAGTGAACTGTATGTGCTGCTATGTTCATACAAAAATAAATTGTGTAATGTCCTCGATTCGAGTGTGTTTCATTATCTTCAATCAACCACAGATGGGTCCTTCATTCGTGAACTCAAAATGCTCCCCGGAGATTAAGCTGAGAGCCGCAGGAGATGAATTGATGGCACTTGCAAAACTACTGAATAAAAAAGCAGTTTGAAGTTATCACAGTTAATTTCTTATCAGTTCTATAGCATTCTGCTAACATTTGTTTTTGTTTCATTCATCTATTTTAATAGAGAAGCTGCCAGCAGAACGTGAGATGATATATAATTATGTCAAGGCGATAGACAGCCGAACAGATTCAAGATGCGGTTATTGCCACATTTATGATCTTTGCTACTAACGAGACAAGAAGGAACGCTCTATGTCAAAAGTCTGTCATTTTAAAGAACTCCCCATAAAGATACTGCTTTAATTAAGCTACAGTAGTTGGTAGAATGAGGCTAAATTGTCATAATCATTAACGCTATTGAAATCATTGTGCGGCTGAGTGCTTCACAATTCCCCAGAGGTTCCGAGTAGACCTCCCTGATGAGAATAGTGTTTTTCGCGGCCCGTAGCGTTAGATTCTCAGGCTCTGTTCAAGCTTGTGTCCCTCAAATGTACTTTTTTGAATGCAAATCGTACTGTAATTATACTTGCTATTCATGAAATCACAAAAAGACTGTTTGGAAATTGAATCTAAGACGGTTCCCTAAACTTTTGAGCCGTGGTACAGCTTTGGCACACCACCAGCTGAAACTGATACAAACATGAAACTGCAGCCTTTATGAGCACTCAACAAAGTGTGTGGTATAGAAAATGAAACTACTATAAAAAGGATTTATAATTAGCTCACATTATTTACTTTCACATTATATTCAAACAACTAGGTGACATTTATTTCCAAAGGCACACTTAATAATATTTGAAGGCATGCTATCGTGCCAAGGCAAACTGGTTGAACAACACTGCTCTAAGGCATGATTTAAAGTATTATAGTATTTTTGGCCTTGATAAAAGTGTTGTACATACTATCTAATGTTAGTATACTTAACTTGGATTTTCTCAAGATATCAGCTTAAGATAAAATGGTCAGACTACAAACACCGAGATTCAAAGGGGTATCACACATCAACTTGTGTTCTCCTCTATTTTTCTTTTTTTCCCATGTCAAACAAACCACTTGCCTGACGCCTCAAATAGCTCCATAAGATCAGCTCTTAAGCAGATTATGAAGTTTACAGTCAGTGTGTAAATATTCTTTAGTATCTACAGTATGAGAAAATATATTGCACTTTTCTTCACGGATCATAATCATCTTAATAAACAAATGTGTACCAAGAAACTTTCCAGGGAAATTAATGTAATCTCTTCCTAAAGCTCCATCGCACCAGTTCATATCCTCGCTTCTTATTTGATTTGTCCAGGACATTTGATGCACGTAACTGTTTGGTCACGCTGTCATAGCTTGATACATTTTAGTGGCTCCAATATCTGACAATTGTCGTTTGTTATCTTCACGCCGTCTCTATTTTTCAGACCACAAAATGCCAACAGGTGTGGCCAACTGTGGCTCTTACGAAACGGATCACAGAGACTTGATTGAATTAATATGCGGCGGAGATAGATTGTGGCGCTCTGTGGCCCCATTAGTCACGCTTTTGAATGGAGAGCCCTTTAAAGCCTGCTGTTGCTGCAGTGTAAACTATTGAGTTCCACGTCCTCAAACTACTCACTATCTCGTAAATAAGACTGAAGATTTTTGTACACAGCATCAATCAGAAGAGAGAGAGCAAAGCGAGATGTAAGTGGACCTCTCAGTTTTTCATTTTAATGCACAAGTTTATGCAATTGTTTATGAACAACTGGCTTATTCCATGTAACAATTAATACACAAAAACAAAGCATAAGTATGGATGCACCGATACTGGCATTCGGTCGATACTATAGGCTTGTACTCGTACTCATACCCCACAGCCGATACCCACATTTTTAATTAACATTAACATTACGACAGCAGACAGCTGTGCGGCACGTGTTGCCATGGTGATCTCCGTAAGTCTGCAGCGAGAAAACAAACACGTATAACACCGGCAACTTGATAAAACTCACCGCCACGCAGAGTAACCTTTGCTAGTATCGGAGCTATTTCTATGTTGTTGACTTTTATAACAATTAATAAAATGTTTAATTGATGAAGCATTTTCTTATTGTTGAATGAATAAAACATTTTAAATTTCAGTTGTATTAGTGATATGAACTCCCAACACAACGTACTCGTATTGCTACTGGGTACCGGCAAGTACTCAAATGAAGGTACTCGTATTCGTATCGGTTTTGAAAAAAGTGGTAATGT